AAAAAAAAAAAAAAAAAAAACACTCCGCAAAAATTATAATTAAAAACCCCCTAATAACACTCCAAAAAAAACAAAATTTATCAGTTTTTCTTTTCCAGGAATTATTATTGTTTATTTTGTTTAAAAAAAATCTCATTTTCTCAAATACAAACAAGGGAAGTGGGGAAAAAAAATAGTGAAATTTGACGGTGGAGGACTTTTTTTTTTTTTTTTTTAAATAATTTTTACTACTGAATTGAATTAAGCAATGGCGGAGAAGAAGAGGAGGTTCAAGGTTGGTTACGCGCTGTTGCCGAAGAAGCAGAACAGTTTCATCCGTGATTCTTTGGTAAGTCTCGCCAAATCTACCGGAATCGATCTGGTGAAGATCGACCTGGAACACCCGCTCGCCGACCAGGAGCCGTTCGATTGCGTACTCCATAAACTCTACGGTGATGATTGGAAGCGGCAGCTCCTGGAGTTCCGAGCCGAAAACCCTAATGCCGTCATTTTAGATTCGCCGGACGCGATTGAGCGCCTCCACAACAGGATTTCTATGTTGCAGGTGGTTTCCGAGCTGAGGATTGAGAGTCGGAGCGATACATTTGGGATTCCTAAGCAGATTGTGATATATGATAAGGAGACGCTATTTGACCGGCAGGCCTGGGAGCTTCTCAAGTTTCCGGTTATTGCCAAGCCGTTGGTGGCGGACGGGAGTGCAAAATCGCACAAAATGTCTCTCGTTTTCAACCACGATGGGTTGAACAAGCTCAAGCCCCCGATTGTTTTGCAGGAATTTGTGAACCATGGAGGAGTCATCTTTAAGGTTTATGTGGTTGGGGAGTACGTGAAATGTGTTAAGAGGAAATCGTTGCCGGATGTTCCCGAGGAAAAATTGGCGAATTTGGAGGGTTCCTTGTCGTTCTCGCAGGTATCCAACTTGGCCACTCATGAAAAGAGTGATGAATTGTATTACAAGAAGATGCATTTGGAGGATACTGAATTGCCACCGCAGAGTTTCATGACGGACATTGCTAAGGGTTTGAGGCAGGCATTGAAGTTGAATTTGTTCAATTTTGATGTGATAAGGGATACCAGATTTGGTAATCGCTACCTTATCATTGACATTAACTATTTTCCTGGATATGCCAAAATGCCTGATTATGAGACCGTTTTGACCAATTTCTTTTTGGATATAGCCAATAGAATCGACGGGGAAGTGGTCGAAAGTTTGGATGAGGGGAATTGCGAAGAGAAGGCAGATTCTGATGCTAGCTAGGTTCTTAGTTGTGAGGAGGAGGTGGAGAAGGTTGTCGGTAATACAAGCTGAAGTGATGGGGAAGAGGAAGAAAACGCCATTCAAGTTTGACAAAATGTAGGCAATACCTGTGAACAGAGTAACTCGTTTTCTTCACTAATTGGTGATTTTGGGTTGTCAGAATTGTATAAGGATTGGGACCCTTAACGCCAATTTCTACACTGGAGTGAGTTGCAAACTTCGTTTATAAACAGAAGTTGGTACAATGGTGAAATGAGTAGATTTGAGCTTGGAAAACACCTGAAGTCTCAAAGTACAGTTTAGCCTTCAAGATTGAGGCCTTAAGCATTTCTTTGTTTAGAAGTTGTTCTAGTTTTGCAATTTTGACAAGCTTGTCTCTAATTGATTTGCATTTACTTTTGTTAGTTTTGCACATCTTTTCTTTCTAATATTTTTTACCAATTGTTCTGCCTTTAAATTAGAATAAGTTCTCGGAACAAAATAACAAGCATTTATTTTAAATCTATTTGCTGGGATGAATTTAGATTGCTTGTTGATGATTAGTTGAGGATCAAATTCATCAGATTGAAGCTTTGACTTTTAATATCTAGTTGTATGATTCATGGACAGCTTTTGCTGGCCTGAAATTGTTTCAAGAAGAATGCACAGAACTTGATCTGTCAATGTGTAAACCAGTAGGCCATCCATTAACCATGCTGGTTCTATGAAACTGTACTTCCTTGATCCTTCTGTGTCATCAAACACATTTTGTGGGTTTTACCAGAAACTGCGGGGAGTCCTGGCACCCTGTACTGGTTTCACATCCCATCAAAAAGTGAGCTGTTTAAGATTCCAAACATATTGCACTTATTTCAGACTCAAACCTTTTATTGCCTTTTTATTTTGTCGTTTTGAGTTATCCTCAAATATTGCAACAAGTATGAGTGGTTGATTCTGATAAACTGCTTCATGCATACTTAATGGTTTTGCCCTTGCATCCACATGTCATTGTGTGTACGGGCATCTGTGACATTATTAAAATTTAAAATTGAAGTCTCCATGTGTCAATTTACAGTTGATATGATGCCTGGATGTTGGCTAATTCAGAAATTTTATTCTTGTTTTGGATATATGCATATAAGGGGTGTTGCACATATTGACTGTTGGATCTTACAAACACAGTGACATCTCTTTTTGAAAATTGTTCTGCAACATAGTTTCATTGGACACAACGTTTAGTGGGAGAGAAATGACATCTTGCTTTTATGTCATGAACTGTCTTTTTAGTGAGAGAATGCTCTACTAATTGGAAGGAAAAGCCATCTTAATGCATTAGATTTCATTCAAAATTGGCAGCATAATATTTAAGTGCTCTCATTTCGTTTGAGATATTTTTTTCTTCTGGATGCCTTGACGTGGAAAGTAATCAGATCATTGCTTCCATTTTCATTGTGTTTGAAGTGCAAGTCAATTACCTCTAAGAACCACTTTGTGATGACTTGGAATAATTTGTTGGTTTTGTAAATTAAAATTGTCACTGATGATCATGCTATTGTGGTGAGTGTATGTTTCTTCATTCGGCTGAGATTTTGGTTCTCCAGAAAGATCTCACCCTCAACACTAAATCTGATTTATCTGATATTGACTGAAGCTCGTTTGTTGCAACTTCTTTTATTCCTATTTAGCAAGGTCTTACGTTTTCAATTCATTAAGGTTAGATGATCTATTGATGTTTTTAAGTTATTAACTTATTATATACGGTGATTCGTATATTTTTTGAACCTTTGTCCTTTTCCTTCAGATTTTGTAATTCTATCTGAATGTTCTTTGTTATGATGCTAAACGATCCTCGTTAGTGGTCCTGTTGTACTTGAGATTGTTGCTTATGTCAAGTGCAGATGCAGATTTTAATCATCACGTTGATATCGCTGTGATTGATATTGAGGTGGTTATCAAGGTAACTGGTCTCTGCAGTCTGCTCAGTACTTTCCTGAATTGTTATTACATGTGTGGTGAAATGAAATGGTTGTCCTAGTTAAAAAAAATTGTTAGTAGATGTAGATTCTCTTATCCATTCCTCTCAGGATTTTGGGCAGAAGCGAATGTGCAGCCATTAATAGTCTAAATTCTCATGCTTAGCTGATAATGGATTACCTATGTTGCTTTCTGGTTTCTTGAACAAATACAAACTCTTTGATGCGAAATTAAAGTTGTAGCATGTACTTGCTCTATTTATATATCAAAGTTATGGCAGCTGAACAATTACAGTTACAGAATTTTTTCATTTGTTTTAATAGGTATAGTTACAGAATTTTGCTACTGCTTTTCTCTGTTTCTGCTACATAATAGGGAACATGGATATGGTAATGTTTTGTAAATAATGTAGGGAACTTGGTAGATTGTTTTTATCTGGAAAGCCCAGTGTTTGAAAAGGAAAAGCATGATTTGAACACTAACGTGTTGAACGGAATAAAATTCACATGTAGCTATACTATGATGACAGAAGATGGACTTCAGCACTTGCAAATTGCAATAATATTAATATTATCGTTTTAGCAATTTTCGTATCTGCGTTTTCATAGAATTTGTTGAATAATGAGTGGCTATTTAACAAAGGTAATCATAGCTAGGACGAAAAATATAAGAAAAGTTAGAATCAATTATGTAGTATAAATTATATTATTAAATTGATTAATGTATATAATATTATAAGTTTTAAAAAAATTAATTATTAAATAATATATGATTTATTTTTTAATATTTTAAATAATTTATTTTATGTTATGTCATTGATCATAAATTTTGATACTAAAATTTAATCTCATTTATCATTATTTTTTAATAAATAAAGTGCTTATTAACAACTCAAAAAAAAAAAAAAATTGGAGGGGATGTGTTTACAGCTACTCATGAATTTGTTGAGGCTACACATACTATAAACTCAAATTAATTTATAAATTAATATTTTTAGATATTATAATTAATTATTTAAAGAAGAATTACAAATACCAATCAAATTAAATATATTTTGTGTGATTTTAACACATTCAGGGGTCATCATCACCACACTTAGGGGTTGAAGAAGTTAACATGAAAGCAGTTTTGCCAAACAACACTCCTAACATTTTCAAAGGTTTAAATTTTTTATCTTAATTTTAGAATTAAGATTCTAAAGTTATATTAGGAATAACGTCTCCTAGTTTACAATTTGAATTGTAAAATATAGACTATTAAATAAAAAGAGAATCTAAAATATAAAAAATTCAATCACATCAAATAATGAGTGTTTTGTAATATAATAATTTGAACCATACAACACTTTTTCCTTACAAGTAACAGAGTAGTTAAAGAAAGAAATAAAAATAAATTATTTTGATAGATTGTGTGCATTTGAAGAATGAATTAAGATGAACATTAGCATTAATATCAACCTTAGCAGTAGTCAATCGCTTGTTTTAGTAGGAAACTATCTTTACCTAAATCCCAACAATCAATGCAACTAATAATCTTGACTTTTAGCGAGTAAACCAACACTATCATCCAATAATTAAATTAGTAAGTAACATGTAACTGGAGATTAATTCTTTTTTTCTTTTGTGTATTTCTTGATGTAACACTGGGAGACCAATCGCGGCCCGCTTTGTCTCTCTTTCTGTTTTCACAAGCCATGCGCCATGCACAGCACAGGTCAATGCCTTGTTCTCCCTTACGATGTTGGGATCCTCTTAAATACAATTGTCTTCTTCTTTCTCCTTTTTATTTAGCTTAGACTCTAAAACTTAGCATGCACGTCATCTTGCTTCTATTTTCCACCCTCGCGATTCGAATTCATAATTTTTAAGTCAAGAAAAAAAGAAAATTACCGCTAAAAATTATATGGTTAATGATTACTTTAACACGTAAAGAAAAAAGTTGAAGATAACTTCTTATTATGAAAAAGTTGAAAGATGGATTAAATTTATTTTTAATTGTATTTTTATATAAAAATAAAATAAAAAGTTCATAATAATGAAATAATTTTAAAATTCATTCAAAAAAATTTTATTATATATCGAAGTAACGAAATAACAAACTAAAGGGAACACAATGAGTTTAGAAAACAATAAAAAATGAATGTAAATTAAACAAAAGAATGTATACTTTTCAGTATGAAAAAGTTGAAAGATGGATTCAATTTATTTTTAATTGTATTTTTATATAAAAATAAAATAAAAGCTTCGTAATAATGAAATAATTTTAAATTTCATTAAAAATATCTTTTTTTTTATTACATATCGAAGTAACAAACTAAAGGAAACACAATAAATTTAGAAAGCAATGAAAAATGGATGTAAATTAAACAAAAGAATGTATAGTAAGCTTTACATGAATTCCTATGTTTTTACACACAAGTATATCTTGATTAAACATCCTAAATGAACAAAGTATATGAAGAAATTCCTCTTAAATATCTTAATGAAACTAGTATTTTTCTCAGTACAAAGCAGCTACTGGTATCATGTATCTTCACAAGAAGGCCTTCTACCATGAAACAGGCGATGGCGACGACGGAGTCAAGCTGTAAAACAAGGAAAATGTCAATCAGCAAGAATATATAAGAAAGGAAAAATAAACAAATCCAATTAAGTACACTGAAGTAAAGCACATACTCGAGGACATCTTTCCAATAGGTACCGCTAGGTTCATCATCCATAAACTTCTGCCAAGCCTCAAAGATCGATGAATCATTCGTATTGGCCTGTGTTTCTCCCTGGTTATTATCATTGGTACAAGTCTCAGGAGATTCAGAAACCAATGCAGGAAGTGAATTCCCTGCTTCAACATCAGATGATCCACTCAAGCTCTTATTACGCATGTCAAAATATGCCTTTGAATTTTCATTTATTGCACTTGAGTTCGAGGGGGGCAGAGGAGTTTGGTTATTGCTTATCCCACTAGCTTGTGCATCAAATGGCTGAAGATTTTGGGACCGCAATAGAGCAGCAGCAGCAGCAGTACTGTCGATATTTGGAAGTAGTGTATTTGTGTTGATAATTTGAAGCAGAAGTTGGATTTTGGCAAGTTGAGCAGCATGATCGGCCTGTAATTTGAGGGCAGTGTCCAAAGAATTCAAACTGATCAAGTTTGAAATTTGTGGAGCAAAAAGAAGCTGAGAAAGGCTTAAAAGATGATTGAGATCAGTTCTTGGCTTGTGGGTGGTAGGGTCAATTCCCATTTGAAGCAGCTTCTTCCTTATGTGTGTGTTCCAGAAATTCTTGATCTCATTGTCTGTCCTCCCTGGAAGATGAGTAGCAATCCTTGACCACCTACAAAAGAAAACAAAGAATGCGAGGTCATGCTCTGATACCAATTGTAACCACCCTCCCCCAAAAGATACTAAGACATTAGAAATTAAGTGCATATATAGTGAATGAAAATATACTTGTTTCCAAGAACTGAATGAAGATTAATGATGAGTCTCTCTTCATCTTCTGAGAATTTGCCTCTCTTGATATCAGGCCTCAGATAATTGGTCCACCTGAGTCTGCAGCTCTTCCCACATCTGTTCAAGCCAGCAAGCTTGGGGAGAGCTCTCCAGCTTCCACAGCCGTTTTTGTTGATGTAATCTATCAGCTTCTGATCCTCCTCCGGAGTCCATGGCCCCTTCTTGAGGTTGCTGTCATCGCTACTTGGAGACCTCCCCATTATGTTAAAGTAAAATTGAATATGAGTTGCTTTTTTAGCTTAAGGTAGGAATAAGGCAGGTTGGAGGGCGATGCTGTGCATTATATAGGTGCATGGAGGTGACGATTCAAACATTGATGTCATTGTCAATCTTGGGTTTGCATTATGTTATTCTGAGCTTCCAAAGCAAGCCAATTTCTCCATCTTAGCTCTTTTTCAAGAAAAACCTTGGATTAAATGGTGTCTAAATCGGGATTAGGTAGAGCAAGTGTCAATCTAAGGGATAAATATGGTTGAATTTTTACAATGCACATGTCAGTGGATCATAAAATCTGTTCCTTAGAACTTCTTTACTGCTATTTCAGATCATTTTCATTTCATCCTTCCTTCTTGCGAATTCAAACTCCAGACGTCTCCGATATAGACCATGTCAAAGGATCCTGTATTTGTTCACACCATGGAAACAAAAAAAAAAAAAAAAAGGCGCATATATTCTGCCCTCATCAAAGGAATCAGCATTTTTGTCACTTTCTTGCAATTGAGTCAGTCTCTGAAATTTTAATTTAATTTAGTTTCTATACTTAAGTGCATCGTACATAATCCATTCAAGAACAAATTAAGAAGAGCAAGTCTCTAACTGCTCCTCGCCATTATTTTATTTGGTTTGATCACCAAAAAACAGCCTCCCCTTGTGTTTACCGCAGTCTTTGAATTTGAATTCCATTCAATTCAACATTTCCTCAATATAATTATTAAAGTATTAAACAAGAGAATAACAGTTAACGAACATCAAAAAAATAATTAGTGAAGGGTTAACATGTTTGAGACTGCACAATTACTCCCTCAAATTTCTGTTAATTTGCATGGAGTGTAAGTTTATATCTGAATTTCTAGAAAATGATCTCAGCTATTACGTTTTTTTCACCGAGCTTACTTGATTACTAGTAACATGCCAAAATTTTCCAATGGCAAACCAAACTTTTACCAACCTTCCTATGAAACTAGCCGCAGGGATGGAATAATCAGACTAATATTAGTTCTTTTTTATGTTAAACCAGACTTTAACAACTTTCCTTATACATTTTTTTTTAAATTAATGTATATAGAACAAAAATGCTATAATACAAATTTAGTCAAGTTAATATCTATTAACTATTGAACCTTAATTAGGGATCAAGAATAGTAATTCAAACCCACTACAATATTAAGAAACTAACTTCTTTGTGTACCAAAAAATTAGCTGGTTTTGATATAAAAAAACCTCAATATTGTTTTGTAATTAACCCTATTTTTGTGATTTACATAGCTCAAAAGTGGAGAAAAGTGTGTAACAAGAACTAACCTTATTGTTTTGGTTGACATGGCATAGCAATGAAACGCATTAGATTTTGACCTAGTTACATCAATGGGTGACATAATATGTGTGGGAGCGTCAATAAGATGATAAAAGGCTGAAAGATGTGTTGGGAGGCATTTCAAACCCCATGACCTCATTTCCCTTGATTCACAAGGATGTTAGATGAGAAAAACAAGGAAAGGAAATTATATAGTATTTGTGAAGCTTGAGTATCATTTTACTTATCAAACTTGGTTTCCATGGATAGGGGAACTTGGGCATGCTATGATTAAATGACAAGAAGAAAAAACTATACTCCCAACTACACCAAGAAAATGCAGGTTAACAAAAAAAGATCGAATATTTCCTCTCTTTGACAACGAGGGCAAAACCAATCCTAATTCTACAATATATTAAACCTTCGAAATTTCCTCGATGCTCACTGTTGAATAAAAGAGGATGGGTTTGGTATCTGTAATTGTTTTGGTTTTTGGTGGCTTGTCTCTGAGATTGTTATTAACGGTAACCATACATATGGTTATATAACAGTTTTCTTCTGCTTCTGTCATGATGATTCAAATTTACTAAAAGTATAATGCTGTTAATTAATTGAGTTTTATCAGATATTTTGGTACAAGTTGTGAATCATCCACTTATTTTAGATTTTTTTTAAATCTTCTAATTTTAGATGTTTAGGCAGGCTTTAATGGGCACAATAAATAAATAAATATTTTATCTGTTTTAAAATACTTATTTTTTACTTTGAGTTTGTTTTAAATTGGTTATAATTTTTTAAAAAATTTTGAAGCAGACAAATGGATTTTTCCTTTTTAATCTTAGTATTATTTATTTATATTTTTTAAAATATATAAATAAATATATAAAAATTTTAAAATTTTTAATTTAAAAAATAAAAAAATAATAATTATTTTAGTACAGAGTAAATGAATAAATAACAAAGTGCGGCTAGAGTTGATCTGGGCCGGACCTGGGCTCGAGCTTTTACACTGAGGTAGATCAAAATTCAAAACTTTGCGGCCTTGTGGCTTTCTCAAATTCCGAGTTTTCAACCAGAGATGGCAACGAGCCTCGTGGGGCTGGAGAGTCCTCTCTATCCATTTGTGGGGATGTGGATTTTCGCAAAGATTTTTAATAGAATAGATTTTGTCCCTCGTTCTCATTTCTCATGAATGAGGATAGCAAGTTATATATGAATATGAATTTTTTATATATAATTAATAATATTTAATTATAATGAATAAAATTTTAAAAATTTATGTACAATTAATTAAAATTTTTTAAATATAAAATTAAATATAAATTATCCAAATATAAATAAAAATTGATTTAATATAAATAGCTAAACCAAAAGATTTGTTCTAAACATAAATAAAGATCAATGCAACGTGTTAAGTTTAAGTTTTATTGAATTAAATATGGGTTTGAAATATTTTATTTTTTTGTATTAAACTAATCTAAAATCGAGTTGTATCGAATTCCATAAAAAGGAAGTTCTTTAACACTTATTTTTTTATTCACAAAACTCAAACTCGAGATATTATATAAGGAGAACTGAGTTCCTTAATTCTATTTAGACCAACAGATTGTTGGTATTTGAGTTTGAAATGTATATATCGTATTGATATAATGGGTTGAATTAAATTTAAAATAAAATTAATTTATATATTTTTAAAAATTTTTTTGGGGAATAGGGATCCTTGGGGTCCAAAGGGGGAAAAATTCCCATGAAATTTCGTAAGGAAAAAATGCCTCTATCACCGCTTCTCTGGTGACGATCCCTACGAAGCCCAATGGAGATTGGGGTAAATTTTTATTTACGAAAAAAAAAGGTTAAGTTTTGATTTAGAAAACTCTTTTTACTTATTTATTTATTAATTTTGAACATGGAAAAAAATGGGGAAGAGGAAATTTTTAAATAGTTGATGGGAATTGAATTCTCGATCAATTGAACTTAAACATTAAGATTTGAGGATAAATTATTAGGTCCAAAGGGCAATTCTCTTTTTTTTAATTGGTAATTTAAAACATAAAAAGAGCTATAGTTATGATTCAATTTGTTAAGGTAATTAATAACCATTAAATTTTTAATTTAGTTTTATTATTAAAAATAATTGATAATTAATAAAATAATTAATATTTATTATTTAATAGATTAAATTCAATTTATAAATAGAAAATTTT